GAATAAATAAATAAATAAATAAATAAATAAATAAAATACAGTTAAGGGGCACCCAGCTGGGCATCTGACTTCAGCTCAGGACATGATCTTGCGGTTCAAGAATTCACGCCCCATGTTGCACTCTGTGCTGATGGCTTGGAGCCTGGAGCCTGCTTCAGATTCTGTGTCTCCTTCTCTCTCTGCCCCTCCCCCCACCTCTCTCTCTCAGATCAACAAACATTAAAAATTAAAAAAAAATAAAACACAGTTAAGAAAGTGTATGTTTCTGGGGCGCCTGGGTGGCTTAGTCGGTTAAGCGTCCGACTTTCGCTTAGGTCATGATCTCGCGGTTCGTGGGTTCGAGCCCTGCGTCGGGCTCTGTGCTGACTGCCTGCTCAGAGCCTGGAGCCTGTTTCAGACTGTGACTCCCTCTCTCTCTGACCCTCCCCTGCTCACGTTGTCTCTCTCTCCTGGAAATAAATAAAAACATTAAAAAAAAAAAAAAAGAAAGTGTATGTTTCTTGATTTGCCATGGTCAGAGAAAATAGCCACAAAAAATATATCTGATAGCATTTCCATAAAAGTATAGAAAGAACTGTCAAAACTCAAAAGATATACAATAAAAGATATACAATAAAAAATTTGGAACAGATAAATTTTCAGCAAGCACTTCACAAAAGAAAATATATGACTAACCAATAAGCACATGAAAAGGTGTTCAACATCTTTAATCATCAGGGAAATTCACATTATACCCATAATGGGATATGACTGTTTACTCACTGAAATTTTAAAAACTGACAATGTCAAGTGTGGGTGAGGATGTGGAGCAACTGGAACTTTCCTACATTGCTGGTAGGGTATATAACAGAGTCATCATTTGGGGAAATAATTTATTTCAAATAAAATTAAATACATACTTACTATATGACCTAGAAATTTTGCCCTTAGGTGTACACCAAAGCAAAATGAAAACATGCCCACATGGACCTGTGCATGAACACTTAAAGCCCCTTTATTCACAATGGCTAAAATTGGAAACAACCCCAATATCCACCAACAGGTAAATGGATAAGCAAGTTGTGTTTTGTGTATCCAATGGAATACTGCTCAGCCATGAAAAATAATGAATTGTGGGTACACACAATATGGAGGAACTTTTAAAACACTGTGCTGAGCCAAAAGGGGCCAGACACAAAACAGTACACTCTTTACGACTAGATTTATGTAGAATTCAAAATCAGGCAAAACTAACCTGTAATACTGAAATCCACTGAGTAGTTGTCTGGGTTGGGGGTAGGGGATTGACTGCAAGGGCCACAGAAGGACTTTTGAGGTGATGGAAATGTTCTATACATTGTGTTGGTGGTTACATGGATGTTTACATTTGTCAAAACTTATTAAAGTGAGAATTTAAAACCGGTGCATTTTATTATATGTGTATATTACACCTCAATAAAGTTGATTTTGTTTATAAAGAGGTTTTTGTCCTTCAGAAGACTGCAATTCAGATTGGGAAACTGGATTAGAAGTCCAGGGGATCTCCCTAAGATCACACATAAGCCAGAGGGCAACTCTGAACTAATTCAGGTCTTGCACAGCCAGGTGCCATGGAGATCTAAGGAGAGGTAAGTGGGTTAGGGACTAGTCAGTATACCTTTCAGGAGGAACCTGTCCCAGGATCTGAAGAGAAAGGGAGAATCTCAGGAGGGGAGAAAAGGCTCAGGGTCTCCAAGGACATATTCAGCACACTGAAGTAGAGTGTGGATGGCCTCCATGCAGGCCATGCAAAAGACTGTGGCTAACTCAGATAAAGTTAGATGTGGGGGAAGAATAGAGTACAGAGTCTTGAAAGCAAGACAGAGGATATATAAGGCTGAAAATTAGCATCCATGTGATTCTGGAGTAGGGCAATAGCAGCACGGTAGTAACCAGGCTATGGGAGAGGAATCCAGGTCCAGGAACCCATGAAGGAGGCTCTGGCAGGTGTGTAGACATGGATAGATGGAGGCCTGACTCAGTGAGGTATCCGGGGAATACAAAGACCTAAGAACCATTCTGATGGGCACAAGCCACTGGGAAATGCTGACTCCATCTTACAGAACTTTTTGAACCGTGAAGAGACTGCCAACCCCAAAGGACAGAGCTCAGACTCAAGTACACAGCCCTAGCCCCAAGCCTGACTCTACCACAAACAAACGTGGGCAAATTCTTAAAGCACATCAAACCGGAGATTTCTTATTTGAAATATGGAAATAATAATTCTCGACTCGTGGGGCTACTGAGAAGATTACAGGTGAGGTAGGTGAAGCACCTGCCTTCAGGGAGATAACAAATGATAAACATTACAATTAGCCCTACAGTTGATCAGAGATTCCTTGGACTACTATATGAGGTGTCTCCTTCCTTTGGATCTCAGGAATGGGGTCACAACTACACCGGATGAGTGAAAAGAGAAAAGTTCACCTACTCCTAAACCTGCATGTATAGTAATCACCAAGGATAAGCAACACTGGGTATAAACATTATTCACATATGTGCTGTGTGTAGGCCATAAAAAGAGAGTGAGGTGGGTCCCTTTCACGAAATAACAAAGGGTCAAGGGGCTGATTATGAAAATTTGGGCCAAGGGGTACATAATTTGCAGTTTTTCCATTGGGAGAAGGATGCCTTTTTAATTTTCAAATTGACCGAGAGTAGCCTACTTAGCCAAACATCTCTGTCATTAAGTGGCCCCCTTGACGCGTTGACGCAGGTAACTGTGACTCTGAGGGAACCCTAGGAGACCACTGCTCCAGAATCTTGTCTCCAGGTAGGGGCATATGTTGGGGATGTCGGGCAAGCACAAACTTAATACAGTGGCTCAAATCTAGAAAATATAATTCTCTCTATATTGAGATAGAAAACAGGCATTTCCTGAACATATACTGTTTATAAGGCAGGCACTTTACTAGAGGTTTTACCTAAATTGTCTGGAATAACCAACTGTTCACATATTCAACAATTACTTATTAAGTACCAACAGGCACTGTGCAAAATGCTAGGGATGCACTGGGATCATACGCACAGAGACCACTACCAGCTGAGAACAGATCCAGAGCAGGGGCCCAGCACCTAACCAGGCCCTAGTAGAGGAAACTGTTCTAAGGTTGGAGCAGAAAAACTCTGCAGCAGTAAGGCAGTAAGAAATATAGATCTTTCTGTCTTTCAGTCATAAAGGATTCCTAGGCCTTGAAGAGCTACCAGATTTGGCAAATAAAATACAAGGTGATAAACCTGATAAACACTACCTCAGCTAGGTGATCAGGGTCAACATCAACGGTGATAAGTCACACAAACAGTATGTAGCAGTCACATGACAGAATGAGAACAGCACTCTGCCTTCGTGGTCCTACTGCCCCAAACTCACTGCCCTAGTCTAGTCACGAGGAAAACATCAGACGGGCCCCCACTGAGGGACATCCTACAAAATGCCTGACTAGTACTCCTCAGAATACTCATGTCATCGAAAACAAGTCACAACTGTCACAGCCACGAGGAGCGTAAGGACACAAGATGACTAAATGTGATGTACTATCCTGGGTGGGATCCTGGAACAGAAAAGGGCATTTGGGGAAAAATAAGGAAATCTAATAAAGTTGGACTTTATGTCATGATAATATATCAAGATTAGTTCATCAGTTGTGACAAATACATCACACTGACATAAGATGTTTACCTATAGGGCAATTCTCTATACTAGCCTCATAATTTGTCTGGAAATCTAAAATGATTCTAAACTAAAAAGTTTATTTCCAAATACAGGATTCCCAATGAAACCTAAGTTTCAGATAAAGAATTTTTCTTAGTATTTGAATCATAACAACACTTAAAAATTATTTGTTATTTGTCTGAAAGTCAAACTTTACTGGGTGTCTTGGCAACTCTTGTCTGGGAAGGAGTTTACCCTGAGAACATGGAGGAGCGGTGGGGAGCTGGGGAAGGGCTGGGGGCAGGCAGGTGCATGATGCACAATGTATATAGTAGATATACAGATGAGGAAACTGAGGCTCAGTGATTTTACCAATCACCTGGCTAGCTTTGTGGGGACCCAGGATCTGAACACAGGCTTGCATCACCCCATGGCATGTCTATCCATTACACTACAATGTCTCTCAGAATTCTCTCTAGAAACATCCATTAGAATTCACTCTGGCTGGCAAAGAATAAAGGCGGATCAAGAACAGACACTGTAGGGGCGCCTGGGCGGCTCAGTCGGTTAAGCATCCAACTTTGGATCAGGTCATGATCTCGTGGTTCGTGAGTTGGACCCCCACATTGGGCTCTGTGCTGACAGCTCAGAGACTAGAGACTGCTTCAGAATCTGTGACTCCATCTCTCTCTTCCCTCCCCTGCTCATGCTCTGTCTCTCAAAAAATAAACGTTAAAAAAAAAGAACAGACACTGTATCTGGAAGACTCCAGCAAAAGCAGATGAGTTCTTCTGAGCACCAGAACTCAGGGACTCCCCCAAACACAAGACTATGTTTCCTGCTGCGTACAGCCCCTCACTGCACCCAGTCCTTCCTTCCTCTCCTCCTGCTCCTCCTCATCACAGTCAAAACCAGACACACTCAGAGCTAGAAACTGAAAGGTTGGAAGGGACCTTCCGAGCTATTCGACATCCCCCTCTGGACAGGATTCTCACCCACAGTTGTCCCCACAGATGTCACATCTTTGGTCTAGCTCTTAACTGTTGGCTCCAGCTTCCCTCCATCTTTAATTCCCACTTACAATCTGCTTGGGTGTCAGAAAGCAGCCCACCACACTAATTAGTGCTGTGTGTTAAGTAAGAGTCAATGGTCTCTGAGCAAGAGCCCAAAAGGCTCTTATTCTGTGCGAAAGAGAAACTTTATAATGTGTATTCCAGCTGCTCAGGGACCTTTCTGTCTCACCTCCTCCCTTATTCCAAATAGGTGATGCTATTTTATACCTGGGCTCCACAGAGATGAGGTTAAATAACTGCATTTACGTGAACACAGCCCAAGGGTTGCTTTAGTTTATTTTAGCAGCACATGGGAGAGGACAGAGGGGCAACAGCAGGGTGACGTGTACCCGGCCAGCAAAATCTCCTACAGGAAATTATTGACGCCAGCCAGCTGCTCCAGGCCCCTGCTGGGTCGTTTCCCCTCCTCTCCCATCTCTCAGGGGACAGCCATCCCGCTGTGGCTTGCCAGCTCTGGAAGACAAAGAGGGCAAAGCTTGCAGCCTGCTGCGTGCCTACCTCCAACACATCCCCCCACCCCACCTCCGTGAACCCACAGACAGACAGGGCCCTGCCAGGCGTGGGGGTGGGAGGAAGTGTCCGGCAATCCTCTTTTCTCTAGAAATGGGATTGGAAATGGGGTAATCGTCTAAATGGGCAGTCCTGATGAGTCAATAAGCATAACTCCCATTTTTATTACAGTGATGAGGCTGCCTGAGCGAGCGTAATCCCTCTCCCGGGCTCCAGGAGATTGCCAGGCAGCCAGCCGCCACCCCGCCCTCCACCAAGGCTGCATTAGTCTGATGGCAAGAGGTACTGAGCTCTAGATGGACTGCATTTTATAATAGCATTTAAAAGCATGGATCCTGGGGTCAAGCCAGGGTCTAAGGCCACCAATGACCAAGCTCCCTGTCCCCTTGACACTGCCCTCCTGCTCTCCCAAATACTGATGGGACATAGACGGTCCAAATGTAGGGCCACCTTCAGTCACGTAAGGTGGAAAAGATGTCAGGAAAGGCCCCCAACTCAAATGCCTGAGGGAAGCATAGCATAATGGAAAAACCCAGTCCAGCCCCAGCAAACACACTAACTCTTAAGGCCTCTCTTTTCTAATCTGCATTGTGTGATTGCTGAGGTCCTTTCCTGCTCTTCCTCATAAAAACCCCATGGATTCACAACTCTCCCACCCAGCCAGCAAGTCCACCATTACATAGAGTAATTCCTTTCTGCTTTAGAGGCTGTTTTATCCTTTGCAACTCCCAACTGAAATTACAGCTTTCCACGTTATTAATGAACACCTTATGGGAGAGGATGACCTATTAGTAGCTGGAAGCGAGGCCCTGAGGGAATGGGACAGGCAGGGGAGGTGTGGCCTTGTGCACCAGAAAGATACAAGGGATTCAGGATGGGAGGTAGAAAAACACCAAGGCCATGTCATCCAGAGCCCACCATGTGGGCAAAGTGCACAAAGAATGGATGAGGTCCAGGCAGATGAACTGCAGGTCCAGGCAGCTGGCTCTGCTGACAGCAGTCAAGGACCTTCAGAACAAATCATGACCCTGTGTGGGCTCCTGATCGGTGTCTTCATCTTTCTCCATTCACGCATTGACTCAAGTAGTGATTAGCTGGGAGATGCAACAAAATTAAAACTGGATTTAGACTCAGAAGCTGGACCCTAGCTGCAGTGACAGCATTTACCTGTCACATGACACTGAACAAGTCATGTCACCATCCTGAGCCAGCAAAATAAGGCTACTGCCTCCCTTGCACACTTCATGGGCAGGGTTGCCACCCTGCACACCTCCAGAGGGCACTGTTCCCATGGGAGTTTACATGAGTGGTACTAGCCAGAACTGGGCAATGCACAACTGGCATATTGCAGCCCTGCCTGCAGTTAAGAAAACATCCAATGACATAGGATATGTTAGGCATGGACACTATTAGCACAATAGTATTATTGTATTGGTCACATGCTAGAAAGGGATGCTAGACCCATTAAAGACATTTGTAAAAAAGCTAAAACTTAGTGGCAACAAGCTTTGTGTTCTACCTACCTCAACCGTGGTGAAACAGGAAAGCAATCCATTATACAACCCTAGTGCTGTCACCATGATTCAGATGACAAGAATCACAAAAAAGAAAAAGTGAAATAGGAGATGTGGCCCCAAGCCCAGGGTGAGGCAAATACCCTTCATTGGGTGTCTCCTGTTCCTGAGACTACTCTGCTCCCCACACTATCCCCCTCTCAAAATGTCCTCCACTGTAAGACACTCAGAGTCTCAGTTAAGACAAGCTGCCATGACAGACTCGGAAGATCAGAACAAGAGGCCAAAAACCAAATATGTCTGCCCCTAAAGGAGGCTTCCTGGATTTCACTCTCCCTCACATACCAACTCACCATCAGCTCAGGGCAACAGGTCCTAACAGTTTCCTTTTCTCTCAACCTTTCATGGGCCACTTTTGCCTGGGACAGGAGAAAGATGTACAGATTCATGACTCTGCCACATTGCCTATTGCCTCACCAGTTCTAAGTCCCTTCTTTCTCTTCCCCACATACCAGCAACATTCAGGTCAAATAAATTAAAATATGTTGAAATCATGCAAAGTCTTTGATCTACTACTGCTTTTCCTACTGGGGTGGGGGATGGAAATGGTAAACACTGAAAGCATTTGTTCTCAGCTGTCATTTCTCTTTCCACTGCTCCAACTCAGGCCATCTTCATCAGATGCTTCCTAGCATGCTTCCCTGGCTCCAAGACCCTTTACCCTCCATGCAAGACCCCTCTCAGAGCTACTGCTCTAAACAGCTCGTAGCCTGTCTCACCTCTGTGTTACAGGCTGCATGGCACCCCATGCCAAAGGATAAGATCTCGGCCACCGGCTTGTTCCCAACCTCACTTTTGGCTACTTTCTTCCATGTATCCAACACTGCAGTCCCATGGGGTGACCCCTCATTCCTGAACAACCTTCATGCACTCATTCACTCGTTGTGTGACTAATTGAGAGTGTAAGGTGTATCTGACAATGTACTGGGCACTGGAGATGTAGTAGAAGGCAAATCTAACCAGGTATCCCAGAGCTTACCACCTTTTGGGGAAAACAGACATCAGTCAAATAACCACAAATATATGATTACAAACTCTGATGTATGATAAAGGAAAAGTGCTCAAAGATGTACAAGGCAGAAGGGCTAAAGTGGTCTGAGAATCAGAGGCAGCTTCCCTGAAGAAATGATACTTGAGCTGGTATGTGGAAAATGAGAAGGGATGAATTAGGTAAATGAGGTGGGCGTAGTAGCCATGGCAGAAGAGAGGATTCCCAGCAGAGGGAGCTGCCTGGGCCTGGAGCTGGTGAGGAGCAGGAAGAAGGCTCATACACTGAGCACCGAGCTGGGGGTGCTGGTCCTGGGTGGAGCTGGAGAAGTCGCCAGGGGTCAGGTTATAAGGGTTCTTAGAGGCTCTGCTTAGGATATATGGGTCTTCATCCTAAGAGAAATGAGAAGGCATTAAGAGGTTTTGAGCAGGGAGGCAGGGTACTTTGGGGAACGTGGGACATAGATATTTGCATTTTGAAATTCTTACTCCAGCTGTTGTGTGGAGAAGGGGCTGGAGAGGCCAGAGGAGATATGGAGGTCCAGAAAGGTGGGAACAGCATCCGTCTCAGGCAAGAAATATGGATGTAAACCTGGAATGGGAGTTGGGAGTGAAGAGTGAGTTGAGCAAATGAACGTGCCAAACCACTTTACCAAGCAAGGATGGAAAGAGGGAACACTAGAAGATGACCAGATTTGGGTAAAAAGATCCTGCCATCCGTTTGGGACATAATGGCTCTGGGGGAGACTTTGAGGCCTCTGAGTGGAGAGACCAGTGACAGATGGGTCTGGGATGGAGATGTACGAGTCCATCTGCACACAGACCAATGGAAGATGTGGACGTGAATGAGAGCGCTTTACGTCACCACTCGTGGTTACCTCTCTCCAGGGGCTCCACCTGTGCCTGCCCCCATACAAGGAGAACTGGTCTCAGCTGCCTCATACCACCCTTCCAGCCTCTGGGCTCACTCCTATTCTAGGGCCTCTTGGATTATTTTATGGCCACTTCCCCACATGTCTTCACACTAATGATCCAGGAACACCTCGGAGGAAGACACGTGGCTCTCCTCCTCGGCCTATGGAGAAGAGTCTGGCTCTTGAATGACCAGGAAGATCCAGACCCAAGAGCCCCAACTAGAAACTATTCTCAGAGTCCTCAGAAGAAAATGGTCCCATTACTACCTCTGCTTCCAATAAACTAAGATAGGTATTGAAACATTCTTAGAAAACAGTAGTATTGATGTTTTCTCACTGTTACTATAAATAAGTGATCAATCAGATATTTATTGGGGATGAATTTCTCTTTTGTTAAAGACTTCTTGTGTGAAAGGTACAAATACGTAAAGAAATGAGTTAGCTCTAGCCTTAAAGAACCTAGCACAGCCTCTTACTCAGAACCCAGTGCTCTGGCCATAATTCAGAACTAAATTGTGCATTATTTCATGGGATTATCTATAAGAAAATCAAAGCCTGACTCTGCAAGGAGCTTATAATCTCAAGCAAATGTAGGACAAAGATAGATGAAAAATTAATTCTAATACCTGTATGTAATTCTATATTACAGGCACCCTTCTCCAGTGCCTCTTTGCAACTAAGAAAAAGTACCTGACCTCTAAGCAGACACAGATAGTCATATGATTTGGCTGGATTTAAGCCTTCTCCCCCCTGCCCTGGGCAGATGTCCTTGTGCAGTGCACACCATGCACAATGCATACATGACACCAGTAACAGGTGTTGTTCACAGGGAAGGGTCAATATAGGATGGGTGAGCCAGGAAACAGGTAGAATTGGCTGGGAATGAGAAGACTAGAAAGACTAGAGGTACCTCAAGTGACAGAGGAGTTTTGACTAAGGAAGAGTGTATACCTAATGGAGTAAAGAAATGAGATTGAGAAGTTTGGTCGGGGAGTGATTATGGAAGACCCCAAACATCAGGCTAAGAAGTTTATACTTGATCTTGCAGGAGCTCAGCATTGCCTGGGGACATGACCCTCCATGCTGGTTAATTTTAGGTGTCAATTTGAGTGGGCCTCAGGGTGCCCAGATTAAACATCATTTCTGAGTGTGCATGTCTGTGAGGATGTTTCTGGATGAGATCAGCATTTGAATCAGCAGAATGCCCTTCCCCATGTGGATGGACATCATCCAATCCCCTGAGCACCTGAACACAACAACAGGTGGAGGAGAATTTGCCCCTTTGTTCCTACCTCGCTGCTTAAACTAGTACATCTCATTTCATTTTCCCTGCCCTTGGACTGGGATTTCCATCACTGGCTTCCATGGTTCTCAGCCCTTCAGACCCAGACTGAATTATACCCCGGATGGCAGATCATGGAACTTCTTGGCTTCCATAATTATATGAGCCAATTCCTCATAATAAATCTAATTTTAGACAGATGATAGATGATAGATAGATAGAGAGATAGAGAGAGAGAGAGAGAGAGAGATAAATAGATGTCCCATTGGTTCTTTTTCTCTGGGAACCCTATTACGTTCTCTTTTCCCCAAAGCAATGCCAGGGAGAGTTGGCTATCAGCATCAATGGTCTCCAAAGTGCCCACTTGCACCCTGAAAGTCCATGAAGGATACCACTGGATGAAAAAAACAGTTACAAATCTTTGTGCGGACATGGAACCCCAAATAATGTCTCACTGCTTGCATTTGTAGCTTGCCTAAAATATATATATTTTTATAACCCATATATTTATTTTTATAATGGTCTCACTTGATCAGGAGGATGAGCAAACAGAGCTGTTAAGGGCCTCAGGAAAGGTCAAAAGAGAAAATCTACAGTGGCGAAGTTGGGACTGGAACCCAGGTCTTTTACTCAGAATCCAGTGCTCAAGGGCGCCCAGCCTCCCTGCACTTGGTTTGGCATCCTCCGTCTTTTACCGGTCACCACACTGAGTACTTGAATCTGCCAGTGCTGGGTCCTTTCCAAGAAAAGACAAAGCTTCCAAACAAGCAGTAATGACATTGATTATGCCAAGCCAGAGGCAGGGGATTCTGGATCATTTCCTTAAAATACTTGCTCAGCAGCACCCGTGCCCTCACCCCCAACACCTCTCATCCCAAGAAAGAAATGTATGGCACTTCATTAACATGAGGAAGAAATAATTCCCTGTGGATTTCTGCAGCCTCATTTCTGTAGATTGTCAAATGCCAGCAGCAAGCCGGTCTGGCTGCATTGTTAGCTTGGCTCGATCTTATTTTTTGTAGTTTTTTGGCAGACTGCAACAGCCTGCCCCTCCCCCTCCCTCTCACCCCCGACAGGGCAAAACAAATCACCTTTGAGTTTCCTGGTATATCATTCAAAAGATTTCCCTGTTCACCCTGGATTTCATAATATAGTGTTCTCTTCTGCTATCACAAGCCATATATTTCTCTCCAAGAAGGAACACAAAAGTTATTTTTAACACCATACTATAAGATAAATGATTGAAATATAATTTTAAAAAGTAAACAAATAAATGGAAGACTTTCCAATGTGTCATGCAAAGCAAAAAAGCACTCTGTTCAAAAGCTAATTTTCAGTTATCAGATTTCCATCCCCCCTCCCCGATCTTTTCCTGCTTCACCCTTTTGTTACCAAGGAATGAAAGGGGATTCGTCCTTTTTTTTCTCAAAGACCCATCATCTCAGGCTGCGGAGTTTCTCCACACCTGAATTCACACATCTCCCACATCATGACAATTACCTCCATGGTAACCACTCATGACATCATAAACACAATGTGATAGCAGAAGAAACAAGAGCTACAGAGACCCTGTTGGATGCAAATGCCGTGTGTGATCTAAGGGGCTCATGGGAACAAAGGGAATTTTGTCTTGAGATTTTAGCAGGAAAGTAATTCCTGAAATCTATTCTTATATTTCAATATTTATTGGATTTCAAAGCTTCTTGCTGCACATAAGCCTGTGAATACAGACAAAGGGCCATGACATTTCTAGAACGGCACCACAGCACCTGCATCTGAAAGCAAACTAGTGAAACCGAAAGATTTCAACCTAAAGACATAAATCCTTAACAATAGTCGGATCTCACAGGTATTTCTGATGGTCAAAAGAGGGGCTCTTGGAACAGCTCCAGAGTTATATACAAGGCAATGTGTTCCTAGAAAGTCCCTTTTCTCTTTCTACCTTTTCTTACCCAAAATAAATGCCCAAAGCCTCAAGCCAAGCTTAGCAGCTATTAATAATTTTGTGGACAGCAGCCAAAAGAAGAGAGGACATACCACAAGTGTGTGACGTGTACACCACACAAACTTCACAAAGAGGGGTGGAAGTGCTTTGTTGTGAGGTGGCGGTGAGCTGTGAGGTGAATGTTAACACCTACTTTCCACAAGCTTTTCTCTCTGCAAATGGCCCCAGCTTTGGGACTTAAATTTTCATTCCAAATACTATTAGATACAGCAGGGCTCTTGAAATATGGACTTCAAGTTGGAGACATCAGAGTGCATTATTTACTAAACCCACTGTGGATCTCCCCACCTCTTCTTGCACAGGATGCTATTGTTAAGACTCAGGCGGCTTTCATCTCTGTGATCGAGAGAAAAAGAAAGCAAAAACAAAAAGTGCAGCTTGAAGAACTGACCTCACAATCTGGGAGGGAAAAAGTAAACATTACCCAGGGAGCTCCTCAGTTTAATTACTGGCCTTAGAATTTCAATTTACATGTGTCTTAATTATCCACAGAAGGGCTCACCTATTATTCCCTGAATAAAAAATTTAAAAAGCAAACAGAAAATGGGGGGAGGAAAGACTTATTTAAGGGCCCTCCAAGGATTAATGTTTGCATTCTTGTCATGTCTTCCCCGAATTTGGGGATAAAATCTGCCGTGGAATATTTAATCTTCAGCAAACACTGAGTTTGGGTTTTGTGAACACAAATGGCTTCTGACCATTATTTTAGCAAACAATTTCAGACGCACAGTCTCCAGCACAGGGTTCCATGGAATTTTTCACAGATAAAATAGTTGAAAATAGATGTTTTTGCTCCTGAAGTGCAGAAAGTACAATTGCAGGGCGGTGTCTGCTGACTGAGCATATGGATGTATGCGCAAGTTCAAGTTCCAGGGCTCTTTATAGTCATGACTCCCTTTGATACCCTCAAATTTTTACTTGTGTTTTCAAATATTTAATTTGGTTTGCTTGTCCATCTTGGATTGTCAATTTCTGCCAACAAGAAACAGAAGAGCAAAATCATTTTAACTGACTTTAATTTAAAAAAATGTGTCACTCCAGATTTCTAAAAAGTAGCATTCTCAAAACGACTGGGCATTGCCAAACCTTCAAGGAGCCTTCAAATAGCTGTAACTGCTGTAACTGAGTTATCATTGGCTTATGATACCTAGGGAGAAAGCGCTTTTGATTATGAAGGAATAACCTTTTTATTAAGTCTGGAATCCCTTACTCCAACTGCACTAACCAGTCAACAATTATTCAAGCAGGTCTAACTGAGCTCCTGCACTGGGCAGGGAATTCTGCTAAATGCTTTGGAAGATAAAAATATATCATTATATGGTTCCTAAAGAGCTTATTAAGAGAGATAGAACCTCTGTAAACATGTAGAAACCATCCATTACAATAAAGAGGGGCTCTGAAAGCTCTAGGGAGTAGAAGACCACTTCTGGGGGGGGGGGCACTGTGGGCTTCATAGAATTGTAATAGTTAATCTGAGAGAATTCAGCAAGAATCAATGGAGATATAAAATATATGCAACAATCCAGAGCCGGAAACCTGAGATATATTTAGAATAATGAGCAGAGGCTGGTTTTATTGAGTGTCTGTTGTGGCTAGGATATAGAACAGAAAGAGGATCTTGCAGGTCAAAGCCATGTACCAAAAGTGGATGATATGGTCAGTCTCTAATCCCAGGATCTGAGGAAGAGTTAGAAGAGAGAAGGATGCCACCAGCCTATAGTGAGAGCTGTAAAGGAGACCTCTACAGCTTCGGATAGAGACACAGTCATTAGTGCATTTTTCTGGCAGAAGCTAAGAAAGGGAAAGAAAAAAACATGGTCAATTATTTTTTTAAGTTTATTTAGAGAAGGAGAGAGAGAGAGAGAGAGAGAGAGAGAATCCTAAGCAGGTTCTGAGCTGTTAGCACAGAGCCCAACGTGGGGCTCGATCTCATGAATTGTGAGATCATGACCTGCGCCAAATTCAAGAGTCAGATGCCTAATGGACTGAGCCATCCAGGCACCCTCAAAACATGGTCAATTATTAAGCCATTGGGCTCTACAGGCTCTGTTGGCCTGGAATGAATTTCCAGAGCCCTCCATAAGTGCAGCAACTTCCAACCAGTTTCACCTTAAAGGCATCACTCTGCTTCTTACACTTGGACCAACCACAACATAGAATGCAGTGGATGTTTCTTCTGGAATGGCCACAATCCAAAGACTGCTTGTTAGGAACCATTTGTCTGCCAACCCAAAAGTCCTCAGGTCTTCAGCAAAGTTGGAAACACTTGGCAAGGTCTTCTGTCCCCAGAGTAACAATGGGAAGAGCTCTGGGCTGGAAGTCAAGAGAGTGGGTGCTGGCCAATCCTGGCCTGGGTATTAACTCCCTGTGGACTTTGGGTGAGCCTCTTCCTCTCTCGTGGTCCAATTTCACTCTTACAATGAGGAGCTTGGACAAAATACCTGCTTCCATGTCTTGCATTCTGTGAGTTGAGATCAAGGGTTCCAAGTTCATGCAGCTATGTAAAGGTGGGAACCAAGACCAGACCCTGTGCCTCCTGACCCACTGATCCAGTTTTCTTTCCACAATGCTGTGTTACTCAAGTGGGAGATGTTGACAGTAACAGCCAGCATCCACTGAGTGGCTACTGCAGGTCAGTGTGTCTATACTCTATCTGGTTAGTCTTCACATCAATCATCTGACTTTAAGCTATCAAATCAATTTGCAGATAGGAAACAAACATAGAAAGATGAGGTCATTTGCCCATAATTGCAAAATTAGTAAATGAGAAACCAGAATTTAAAGTGAGACAGCCCTGTTCCAGGACCCATTATCTTCCTCTCTATTCTCCACACTACACAGCAGAATAAGGAGCAGCAGAGCGACATAAGGGACACGGAACCTTAAAATAGAAACCATGGCAGTCTTCCAATGGTTAGTTCACATTGCAAGTATGAGAGCTTTCAGAAGAAATATTTTGGTCAGAGTTGCTTGCCTGCATACCTCCCCTTTCCCTCCCCACAGATGACCACACGAACAGTCCCTGGGGGATCATTTACGATCCAGTGGTCTTAACTGTGGTCTGAATGGAGTACGGATAATGACCACATAGAAAATCAGGAGACAGCAGACTCCTGGCTGACTCCCCCATCTCATAAGACAAGGAAAACCAAAACACCACAGATTATTCTTAGTACAAAATAAAAGCCAAGAGGAGGTATCCTCTTGAAATCTTCAGGGAGACATGCTGACATCACCCCTACACATACAGGTGCACACGCAGGCTTTACCAGTAGAACATGCCTCAGGTTGATGGCTGTATCAATCCAGACATTAGTTTTAATAAAGGGAGAGGGTACTCAAAAACTTAAAAACTTCTTTCAGAGGCTTGTACTATGGGCTATACTACAATCTCTATGCCCTCTTTTGCCTATGACATATAAGATCTCTATTCTAGGAGCTTTAAGAGTTATTTTTTTTTTAATGTTTTATTTATTTCTTGGCGAGAGAGAGACAGCGTGAGCAGGGGAGGGTCAGAGAGACAGGAAGTCACAGACTGAAACAGGCTCCAGGCTCTGAGCTGGCAGTCAGCACAGAGCCCGATGCGGGGCTCGAACCCATGAACCATGAGATCATGACCGAAGCGAAAGTCGGACACTTAACCGACTAAGCCACCCAGGCACCCCAAGGAGCTTTAAGAGTTATTTTTGAGCAGGTTTTCCTATTGCTAACATAAAAATGTGGTTTCAAGAACCCTAGACAAAAAGTTGTAAACTTAACTTCTAGTCCAGTGCTTTCACCAACTGGCCAGTTGACCTTGGCTGGTCATTTGACTTTCCCAAGCCCTGGTTCCTCATCCGTAGTGAGAAGCCTGATCTTCTCAGAGTTCTGTGAGCCAATCAAGGACCAAGAGCCCTTGAATCATGTGTTTTGCGAGATGGATCCACAGAACACAATTGTAATCCAGAGGGATTAAATTCAAATAAGAAACAAGAGGCAATGAATGCTCTTCTGACAGAGGAATTAAGTTCAGATAAAAATCTGCGCCTCTGTCTGGTTCTGGAAGCTTGGCTTGGCAGTGACCTGCTGCCAAGCCTTGGGGGTGCCTCAATCTATCCACACAGCAGGGAGAGTGAAGGCTCCTTCCCTGAGGGGATGTTTGCATGAAGCAAAGCACTGCAATTCTCCGTGACCTCCCTGGAGGGAAGGTTTGCCTCCTTCCCAGGGAGAGCTTCAGAGTATGGAGAGCAGAATATCTGAGGTAGTGAGCAGGACAGACATGGCTGAGAGCAAAGCCAGATATGAAACCACTAACCTTTCTGGAGTGGGGACAGGAGTCCACCTTATTACATTTCATGATTTTGCCTCATCAGACTATAGGTTTTCCTGTAGTTCTGTCAGAAAAAAAACCTTTTGTCACATTCTTGATGGCCATACACCTGGATGATCTCTGGCTGTTTCTTCCTATCCTTCTAATCCTAGATTGTAGTTAACAAAATTTGTATTCCTCTGAGCCTCTAAGATCTTTCTAATGCTGTTCTATGGAAGTAGATTAGCTTTATTCAGAGTTCAGTATTATTTTCAATGTGTACAGTTATACTTAGGTACTTTGAAAACAACTTCACATTTTCAGCTGCCCAAGAATGGAAGGCACTGCTCTTTTGTTAATTGATTATGCACTTTCCCTAGACATATAAAAACAGAGGGCAGAGAACCAGTATTCAGTGTATTGTAGCAGGATTCCTGCATGTGATAAGAGGGGCACCAGAAAGCCCAGTTTCTGCCAATAAAATATAAAGCTCATGGGGGCAGCAATATTATTGCATAGACCCAGCAATTAGAATAGCTTCTGGCACATGGTAGGTGCTCAATAAATCTTTATGGGATGGATGGATGGATGGGTGGATGGGTGAATGAATTTCACCTTTAAAACCATAGGATTCTCTGATTCTTCAGCCTATGTCAATTATATTCTCACTATTCACTATCTCTTAGTATCTCCTGTTCTCATCCCCTCCTCACATTTATCTGACCCCAGGGGCCCCCATACTGGTAGAGTAGCTGCTTTGTTTCTTTATAAGATTAATTTTAAAATAATAGTAATAGCTATTATTTGTTGAATGTTTAAATATATCAATCACTATGCTAAGTAGTTTAAATATATCAACTCTTTTAATCTACAAAACAACCCAAGGAGGTCATGTTATTACTTCCATTCAACATATGAGGAAACTAAGGCAGAGAGAGTGTGTATATTTTGCCTAAGACTATCCACCTGTAAGGGGGTGGGGGGAGGTGCTTAGCTTCAAACCCAGGCTGTGTAGCTCCAGAGGTAATGCCCTTAAACTCAGACCTGCTGTGTAAGCTTAAGCCTTGGTCATAACTAGAGTATTCACTATGGATCTCTCAACCAGAGGAAAGGATGTTCAAGGTCCAAATGCCTTCAGCATCACCTGAGGCACTTCATGCTCCGCAGGTTCTCAAGGCCCTACTGGCTTCCTGTATTAGTTTTCATCTGAGTCACTAAAGAGTATTCAAGGTAGAAGAATTGAAAGTAACAGTGTGAAGTCTATTCAAAGCAGGTACCAAGCTTGGTACCAGGTAGAGACCAAAAAATAGAGAGAACTCACCCTAATTGGATATTTGCGTAAGCCTTTCATCATTACTGTATACCAACACCTATCATGCTTGGTCTGTAATGGATGCTCAACAACTGTTTGTTGAGTTTATGGAAAATTTGTTAATTATTAATAAATGAATAGCTAATAGTAAAAACAGACTTTAAGAAATTTAAAAATAACCTAATAGGAAATTTCAAGTTAAAACCCTATTTTTTGTTAGACAACAAGATGCCATTATTCTTTCAAAACATGCATCTTCAGTGTCTACCATGTTCCTAGCATGACGCTGGTCATGGTGGGGGACAAAGGGAAACTATTACTAGAGTCAGGAGTGACACCTGAAATAGGAAATGCAATTAAAAACTGGAAATAAGTAGACTGCAATATATTCTAACTTCATAAACACATCTGACACTATCCTGTTTCTCAGGATGGTAAAATGTTTTCTAGATTTTTTTTCCATGTGTTTAAAGTTATTTGAGTTAGGTTAAAATGGTCAAATCCATTTTGGAGGTGGGAAAATCAACCACAGACAGGTAGGTCATTTGCCCATAATCACACATGTAGTAACTGTCATGCCAGGATTTAAAGGCAGTCAGTCAGTCTGACACCATAACCCATTTCCTAACCTGTACCATCCATACTACACAGCAGAATAAGAGTAGCATAGGAACATCAGGTGACATAGGGATATTACAAATTTACATACAAATATATTTGTGTATACAGGTATGGTTTTTGTTGTTTCATTTCTGTGTCTGTGTTTTATAATAAAGGAGATCATACACTATGTGCTATTGTGTGAATTGGTTTTCCTTACAGCATATGTCTTGAAGATATTTCCATGTACTTGCAGAATACGTCAACCTTATTTGTTTCCAGAAGTGTATTTTATGGCATAGGTATTTATTCGGCTTTCTTCCTACTGATGGAAAATTAAGGTTGCTCATAGTTTTTCAATTATAATGCTTCAGTTAACATTTGTAGTTGTGTGCAATATGTGGATATTTCTGAAGTATACATTTATAGTAGTAAAATTCTGAATTGTATATTTATAGTAGCAAGGTATATCAATATTTTGCAAGATTTGTTCAAGGTAAAGCAACATTGTTCAAGGTAAGTCAACATTTGCACGCCATTTTTTTTTAATTTTAGAGAGAGAGAGCACTGGCAGAGGTGGAAGTGAGTAGGGGAGACGGGCAAAGGGAGAGAGAGAGAGAGAGAGAGAGAGTCCTAAGCAGGCTTCATGCTCAGTGCAGAGCCCAATGCAGGGCTTGATCCCATTATCCTGCATTCATGACCTAAACCTAAATCAAGAGTCAGATCTCAACCGGCTGAGCCACCCAGGTGCCCCTGTAACCCATTTCTAATAGGGTTTTTGCCGCCTTCTTCAAGGTCATAGTTAAAATCACTAGGCTAATGTAGACTCCAGAGACAGGCATTATAGATGGGCATCCACATACTTCATAATTACATATAGTACTTCACACTTTCCATATACTACCTTCATAGCATGTTATAAGAGAATGTCATTCTCATTATATAGATTAAAAAAACTGAGATGTAGCAAAACTAAGAGATTTTTCCAGTGTCATTCCATAAATTAAAAGCAAAGCTCCAACCAGAAAAAGAAAATTCATTTGTAATTTAGGGTTGTTTCCTTTCAAACCACACTGATACAATAAATTGTATATAATAAGATGGTTTGCACGCAGCTGTTAACAAACCCAAGTTGTAAGAGTAGATAACATGAACATGATTATGGATTGCAAGTTTTGAGGACAGAAATGTGTAAGAAAGGATGAAAAGTGTTTTCCAGCCCCAAAATACCATAATGTTATGATCCTAGAGAACTAAAACAATAAAATAAAGAGGAAAAACTCATTGTTGATGAAATGGAAATAAAAAGTAAAAAGAGTCCAGAAAGGGTGGTTGGAATGGGAGTGTCCTACAAAAAGTGGTCCCTGGAGTCCCCATAAAGATTTACAAGAAAGAAGCCCTCCAAACATACTGTCTTATAGAAGCTATGGTAACTCAGACTCAGCCTTCTCACCCAAGAATAGTATTCAGCCTAGAAGTTTCTTCTGTAAACTGAAAGGTGGAAATGGCAATTACTTGATCGGTAGAGAATTCCAAGTCAAATTCTTTTCAAGGATAATTTACCCCAAGTAAAAGATTTTACTGTTAAATATTACTTATGATTGAACAATAGGTATCATTAGGTAAGAGAATTCTGAAGAGGAATGAGTAAGCTTCTCTGCAGAAATGAATACAGAAATCTGTTCTTGATCATCTTGATCAGAGTAATGACAGAAGGAGTAGGAAACCTATAATGATGTTTTGATAAACGTGCTCAGTCAGATGCCCTAACATTTACATGTAAGTTTCAACTAAGGATTCTGCCAGGACATAAGATATCTCCTCTCAACAGCTGTCAAAGACAGACAGCCACTGTCTCAGCTCCTTCCACTTGGCTAGTATGTAATTTATCTATAAATTGTTACTCTCCTCCAGTTCTGACTGTATAAATTACAGATGAGATAAAGTTGGACAGGAACAAAGACAAGAATTCATGCTGAATAGTGTCTTCGAAGACGGCTGTTTTGGAAGATGGCCTTTGAAAAACATGGTAAGCTTTCACTACCAGCCCATGGTTAGGAGGAAATTTAAAAAAACTGAAATTGTCCCTCCCAGACACATATTTCTGAAAACTATATGGTTCTTAAGGAGAAGGTCTTGGACTATGGAAAATAGTTGGCAACGGACTGCATCCTATTATTGGCTGCCACTGGGAGTTTGCACTAGAATTTACAATTTTGGCTTTAAGCAGGACACTGAGTGTCCTGGCAACCCTGTATAAAAGATTGGCTGTGAACTTTGCCAAGGACTTATTTACATTTCAGCTGACCAAGACTTTTAATAATCGTCTGACTTCCAAAGCACCCATTCTGAGGTCTTCTGCAGTAGCCCATGGGGACACAAAAGGCTCCGTTCTCATTTAGAGTTCTTCTCGGGCTCCAGCAAAGAATCTCTTCTCTCTCTAGGGATTCCTGATAAATATGTAGCTCATAAGAAGAGCCAGCAAGGGGTTCAATTTGTGACAGGAAGGGAAGAAACTATCATACCTTCAGAGGACTCTCTACAGATGCTCACTGCACTGAGGGCCTGAAGGAACTATGAGATTGTTGTTGCTGTGGCAACCACGCATGCCTAAATGAACAACAAAATTAATAGTCCTAACAGGCTTCAGTGGCGTCAACAGGATGACAACACGTCCCTTTACTGGGGAAAGTGAACGCTCAATAGAGATCCTACTTAGATATGGTTCTCGTGTAAAAAACAAATAAACAAACAAAAAACCAGTGTCCAATAAAAGCAAACAAACAGAATGACCATCATGTACTTATCATATAAACTCCAAGCCAAGGGCAAGGCCACTGTTATTCTGCCTCTTTGCTAAAGTTAAGAGGCACCTTTCACACTCGCAGGCCTTTTTGTGACATTCTATTTAATTTTATCATGCTATTGCTAGTCTCCTATTGAGCTTTTGTTGTAAGCAGATAAAGCTAAGGGGGAGCTGAAGGGAAGCAGAATGAGATAGAAAAAGGAAAAAGTAAAATTAGCTATAGCATATAATTGGACCCTGCTTGGCCTTGAGGAAGGCACAATACATGTTAAATTAGCAGATTAATATGTTGCTTGCTGAAGGGGCTATTCTAGACAGTAGGAAGTAAGTTTAAAACAGGTAAGAACTTTTTTTTTTTTCTGAACTAAGGTAGGTTGAGCTGCTGCTCTGAATAATTAGATGAATTTTATCCGTGGGTAGAGATAGGGAAATGGGGGGAAAATCTTTTTTTAGGATGTTAGATGTTATTAAAAGTCCATTGGGCTAAGCAACTTTTTGATGATGAGAGACTTTCAAGAAATTGCCCAGTCACTGTCTATTAATTGAACTGTATAATGACATTGTTCACGTGATATAATGGCCTTTCAGATAAGGGTAGCATTCTGATCCAATTTTGGGCGGAAGTTTCATTCCCCAAATATTTATTTATTTATTTATTTTTTTAAATGTTTTATTTATTTCTAGGAAAGAGAGAGAGACAGCGTGAGCAGGGGAGGGTCAGAGAGAGAGGGAGTCACAGACTGAAACAGGCTCCAGGCTCTGAGCTGGCTGTCAGCACAGAGCCCGACGCGGGGCCCGAACCCACGAACCGCGAGATCATGACCTAAGCGAAAGTCGGACACTTAACCGACTAAGCCACCCAGGCGCCCCGCATTCCCCAAATATTTATTATAATTATGTGACAGAATTGTTACTCCAGTAGTTTGAATGAAGATAATATCTCAGGTTAAATACTTTGTTCAAAGTTCTGGGCAATGCCTACATTGGAAATAAAATTCTTTGTCAAGTTATATTGAATTGAATGTTTAAAGCCTGGTGCTAATGAGCTCAGTCACATGCACGGGTTAGCTGGCTTAGCAGAGTTAGGTCAGCTCTACAATCAGATGCCAGTCAGTCCACTCAGAAATACATCCAAGCTTGCCAAAACGAATAAGTAAGCAAAAACACATAATGAGCTCCATGCAAATCCATCATGGCTCAGAGCATACACATGGCTCATAATAGATTCAAGATTTCCCCTTGTTTTAAGAAGAATTGAAGCACAGTTTGCAGGGAGCACCAGGTGATGTATGGAAGTGATGAATCACTATATTGCACACCTAAAACTAACATAACACTGTATGTTAACTATGCTGGAATTAAAATGAAATAAAATAAATTTTTTAATAAAAAAACAAAGAGACTAAATTGGACAACATTCTTAGGAAAACACAAATATGGGAGTTATTAAAATACACAATCAGGGGCCCCTGGGCGGCTCAGTCAGTTAAGTATCTAACTGTGGATTGGCTCAGGTCACGATCTCACAGTTGATGAGTTTGAGTCCCATGTCAGGCTCTGCACTCGCCTGTTTGGGATTCTCTCTCTCTCTCTCTCTGCCCCTTGCCTACTCATTCACTCTCTCTCAGAAATCAATAAATAAACTTAAAAATAAAATAAACAAGTTAGACTGAAGTTAAATATTTAAAAGTTTAAAAATAAATATTTATCTAAAAAAAAACCAAAACAAAACAAAAAAAGAATGAAGCACACATACCTGTCCTTACAAATCCCAGGTGACAAATCATTAAAAAAAATGCTCTAAGTAGATATCTGAGCATTATAGAGAATGTGAGTTAATTCACAAGGATTGCTCTTTACAACTTTATAGTATCAACAGGAACACACATTAGTTTTGCAAACAAAGAGGCAAATAAGTAAACTGCATCTTCATTACACAAAAGCACAGGGATAAATGCTTTAAATACTGTATTATGAGGTTGTGAGAGCCACACATGAGGATAAATTATCATTTTAAACACTCCTTTCCTCCCCACCCATGCCCCATAAGGACTTCCTGTTGTTATAAGCCTGTAATATATTTCATAGAACGTAATTACGTGACAATATAAAACTAATCATATATTACTTATAGTAAAAATCTTCCATTGTTAATATCCTATTTCTTGATCTGAGTGCTGGTTACATGGATACATTCACTGTTATGGAAGTTCATTAAGCTCTGTAACAATTTTCTGAATATATGTTAAGCTTCAACCAAGTTTTTTGAAAACATTTTTTGTGTCTGCACTGCTGAAGTGCACAAATAGTTATATGTTGTTTTACGGCCAACAAATTTATTCCTATAAAAGTGAAGGTAAAACAAATGTTTTGTAACATAATCATAGTTTAAGTGTACCAAATAAGTTCATTATTTAAATAAAAGATGTGGATTATAGCTCTGGCTTGGCCACTAACTAGTGTTTGAATTTGAGCCTCTCGGCACCTCCCTTTTCTCTCCCAATTCAAAAGGGCTGGATGAGCTACAGTCCAGTGTCTCTTCCAGCTTCACTATTACTGGATGCTGGGTAATAGGCCAAATAAGAAGTGAGAATCCTTTGGTGAATCTTTCTGTAAACCAACAACCCACTTCCTGGTTTATCTTTTTTGTAAACAAGATTTAATGAGGGGAGAAAGCTGGAGTGAGCAAAAACCAAATTGAGTGACTGCCTTGACCCATATGACTTGGCTATAAACCACAAGAAAGCCTTAGTCTAGTCACATAATGTCAGCCCCAAAAAAGTAGAGGCTGCTAAGTATTTACTCCATTAAAGTCTGAAAATCTGGGGCTCCCGGGTGGCTCAGTTGGTTAAGCATCTGACTTCGGCACAGGTCATGATCTCCCGGTTCGTGAATTCGAGTCCCATGTCAGGCTCTGTGCTGACAGCTCAGAGCCTGCAGTCTCCTTCAGATTCTGTGTCTTCCTCTCTCTTTCTGTCCCTTCACTGCTCTTATGCTCTCTCTCTCTCTCAAAAATAAGTAAACCCCACTAAAAGAAATTTTTTAAAGTCTGAAAATCAGTAAGATGAGGATTAACCTCTTCCTGACAAAAGAAGGGTGCAGAGTTTTCAGTGGGGCTAAGTTTAGTCAAGGACCACCCATTCCATAAGCAGTTAGCGAGACCCTGCTGAACATTAAGCTTACTGGTAGCTGCAGGGTATAAAACAGCAAAAGAGGCAGACAGAACTCCACCCAATGGGTCTTAGAGCTTGTGGGAGACACAGACAAGTAAACAATCAGTTATAGAGAGATTTGTATAATAAATGCTGTGAAGGGAGATACAGAAGATAGAGTGTGAGCAAGCACAGGAAGGGCATATAACCCACAGAAGGCCCGTATTAGGGAGGTTTTCTAGAACAAGAGATGTCCAAATATGAGTAGGAGTCAGTCACAACCATGTTTAGCTTGCATGCTGGGAGGCAGTACAGCCTAGGACAGGCTCAGGAGTCAGACTACTCAGCTTCAACTATCTGTGCTACCACTTAATAGCTGTGTGAGACGGGGGAGGGCTCCTACACTCTCACTAAGCCTCCCTTTCCTTATCCACAAAATGGGAAGAATAGTACTACCCATGGATTCTTATAAGGATTAAGTGGCAGAATTCATATAAGGCCTACTAGTACAGAGTCTAACTACTACCACTGTTATTATTGATAGTGAAATAGATATGGGGAGGGGACCACAGAACTTCTCAGCATAAACTGGCCCAGAGGGGACAAAGAATATGGCCATTTGGTGTCCTGAGAATAGTCCAGCTGGACAGAAGGGAGAAGGTGATGAGATAAGGCTGGAGTGGAAGGCAAAAGTCCCTGTATGTTGTGTTAAGGAGTCCTTCATCCTGAAGGAATGAGGAGCACTGAAGTGTTCTAAAGGGAGAGGCTCATGATATCCACTATCCACTCTCTCAGTGGGGGAGAAGCATGCTACCCACATAAAAGAATATTTATTTTGGCCCAGAACATATAAGACTGCATCCACTACCCTCTTTCGTCCACAGAGGATGAGGTCCAGTTGGAATTCAATATCTCGCTAACATCCCGGGATTCCCTTCTCTTGGTGAGCTGGAGATGCTGCAGCTCAAATAACTGCAGTTAATTCAGGAGAGGCATTACCAAAATAATGTAATTCCGCCTAAGAGACCCAGTTCAGAAAATTAACATAGTATATCTTTTCATGAGCCATGAGCTGCAGGCCTCTCTTGAGTCATTAAACTTGCTCTATTAGATTACAGAAAATCCCAGACAACTAGCATTGCTGTGGTTGGATTTTTGTAGAATGCAGACCATTTTTTTTCCCCGAACAGAGGAAAAGTAAGCATAAACCACAGCAGCAGAGCCTTTTGTAACATGAGATGCAGGATGCTTCTCCTGTGCTTCCCATCTCTTAAACCTGACCTCTAAGGAGAACTTTAATAAGAACAAACCAAGCTTCTCAGGATGAATATGTGAAACCCATAGGGGATGGATATAAGGTCTGACATGACAACACTTACAAATGATCTGGACGAAGAAATAAGCAATCAGTCTCTGATGCAGACACCCTTATGTGCTTCTGGGTAGTTTAAAGCCAAGGTGCCAAGGACCATTTGTAGGGGGAGTAGACAAAAGAGTGGTAGATGCAATGCAAGGGTATTTAGAAGAGAACAATTCAAGATCTCCTTATAAAACTAGAAACTACCAGTCAGACCCCAAAAGTGACACCTGTAATTACGGTGTGGCCCCTGTTAGGCTACTGGAGCCAGAAAATGTGGGGTATCATCA